ATATTTAGATTTCGGCATTAAATAACCCATAGAGGTTGATATGCCGCTAAACAATATCAACCAGACCAAACCAATCAAAATATTTAGATTTCGGCATTAAATAACCCATAGAGGTGTTGATATGCCGCTGAACAAAATCAACCAAACCAAACCAATCAAAATATTTAGATTTCGGCATTAAATAACCCATAGAGGTTGATATGCCGCTAAACAATATCAACCAGACCAAACCAATCAAAATATTTAGATTTCGGCAGTAAATAACCCATAGAGCTGTTGATATGCCGCTAAACAAAATCAACCAAACCAAACCAATCAAAATATTTTAGATTTCGGCATTAAATAACCCATAGAGGTGTTGATATCCGCTGAACAAAATCAACCAAACCAAAACCAATCAAAATATTTAGATTCCGGCATTAAATAACCCATAGAGGTTGATATGCCGCTAAACAATATCAACCAGACCAAACCAATCAAAATATTTAGATTTCGGCATTAAATAACCCATAGAGGTGTTGATATGCCGGTAAACAAAATCAGCCAAACCAAACCAATCAAAATATTTAGATTTCGGCATTAAATAACCCATAGAGGTGTTGATATGCCGCTAAACAAAATCAACCAAACCAGATGAATCTAAATATTTAGATTTCGGCATTAAATAACCCATAGAGGTTGATATGCCGCTAAACAATATCAACCAGACCAAACCAATCAAAATATTTAGATTTCGGCATTAAATAACCCATAGAGGTGTTGATATGCCGCTGAACAAAATCAACCAAACCAAACTAATCAAAATATTTAGATTTCGGCATTAAATAACCCATAGAGGTATTGATATGCCGCTAAACAAAATCAACCAAACCAAACCAATCAAAATATTTAGATTTCGGCATTAAATAACCCATAGAGGTTGATATGCCGCTAAACAATATCAACCAGACCAAACCAATCAAAATATTTAGATTTCGGCATTAAATAACCCATAGAGGTTGATATGCCGCTAAACAAAATCAACCAAACCAAACCAATCAAAATATTTAGATTTCGGCATTAAATAATCCATAGAGGTTGATATGCCGCTAAACAAAATCAACCAGACCAAACCAATCAAAATATTTAGATTTCGGCATTAAATAACCCATAGATGTATTGATATGCCGCTAAACAAAATCAACCAAACCAAACCAATCAAAATATTTAGATTCCGGCATTAAATAACCCATAGAGGTTGATATGCCGCTAAACAATATCAACCAGACCAAACCAATCAAAATATTTAGATTTCGGCATTAAATAACCCATAGAGGTGTTCATATGCCGCTGAACAAAATCAACCAAACCAAACCAATCAAAATATTTAGATTTCGGCATTAAATAACCCATAGAGGTGTTGATATGCCGCTGAACAAAATCAACCAAACCAAACCAATCAAAATATTTAGATTCCGGCATTAAATAACCCATAGAGGTTGATATGCCGCTAAACAATATCAACCAGACCAAACCAATCAAAATATTTAGATTTCGGCATTAAATAACCCATAGAGGTGTTGATATGCCGCTGAACAAAATCAACCAAACCAAACCAATCAAAATATTTAGATTTCGGCATTAAATAACCCATAGAGGTTGATATGCCGCTAAACAAAATCAACCAGACCAAACCAATCAAAATATTTAGATTTCGGCATTAAATAACCCATAGAGGTTGATATGCCGCTAAACAATATCAACCAGACCAAACCAATCAAAATATTTAGATTTCGGCATTAAATAACCCATAGAGGTTGATATGCCGCTAAACAATATCAACCAGACCAAACCAATCAAAATATTTAGATTTCGGCATTAAATAACCCATAGAGGTGTTGATATGCCGGTAAACAAAATCAGCCAAACCAAACCAATCAAAATATTTAGATTTCGGCATTAAATAACCCATAGAGGTGTTGATATGCCGCTAAACAAAATCAACCAAACCAAACCAATCAAAATATTTAGATTCCGGCATTAAATAACCCATAGAGGTTGATATGCCGCTAAACAAATCAACCAGACCAAACCAATCAAAATATTTAGATTTCGGCATTAAATAACCCAAAGAGGTGTTGATATGCCGCTGAACAAAATCAACCAAACCAAACCAATCAAAATATTTAGATTTCGGCATTAAATAACCCCATAGAGGTTGATATGCCGCTAAACAAAATCAACCAGACCAAACCAATCAAAATATTTAGATTTCGGCATTAAATAACCCATAGAGGTTGATATGCCGCTAAACAAAATCAACCAAAACCAAACCAATCAAAATATTTAGATTTCGGCA